CCACAATCCTTAAAACTGCCCCAAACCTCAACTAGAGCTGGGACTACGCCAGCTTCCCAAACTTCAAGCCCACGGACTAATTCAGTGCCCCAAACGTTTACTGTACCACGGACCACGCCGGTGACCCAAACGTTTACTGTACCACGGACCACATCAGCGTCCCAAACGTTTACTGTACCACGGACCACGCCAGTGCCTCAAACGTTTACTGTACCACGGACCCCGCCAGTGCCTCAAACGTTTGCGGTACCACGGGCAACGCCAGCGTCCCAAACCTCAAGCCCACGGACCACGCCAGTGCCCCAAACAACAAATGTAGTCACTACTGCGGCAGGGCCCCACCCTTTGACCTCCATGTTGCCTGCTACTGAGAAAGCTGGGAAACCGACCACAACAAAGAGATCCAAGTCTGTGCATTGGGGCCAAGGAGCAGCAAAAGCGACGGTAGAAAATGTCTCATCCTCCAGTTCGCCTTCCTCTACCCCGCCGTTGTCACCCACTACCTTCTCTGGCAAATTCAAGGCCAGGCCTGCTGGTCTCGGAGTCCAGGATCCCAATCTTGGCCGCCAGCCACCCAGCCTTGTGTCCATCAAGACTTTGACCATCGAGAGAGAAACGCCCCAAAAAGTCATGCTTATCCCAAGAAGCTTAAACGCCATTAAGGAAACTGAAGGCAACCACTCGGATGCCGCAACCCTACCACCTACTTTGACAGAGGAGGACCTCTCCCCGTCATCGCCCCCTCCTCTTCCCGAAACCTCACCCCCACCCTTACCATCATCAGCCCCACCTTCCTTCCCTCCTTACGCTGGAGGGAAGTTCAGCAAGGCTTAGTATCTTACTGTGTGATTAGTGTTAGTTCTTAAGAGATTTAGTGATAAGATAAACAAGAAGCAGAAATTTATATCACTGGATTAACATCAACCAGATCAAATGTCCCATAAACGTTGGAGTAAAAGCATTTATTCGGAAGCAACAATAAAACCTAAGAAGCTTCGCGCAGATAACGCTTCTTATCACCGCAGCCACACATGTGCACCACGCATGATTCACAACCTTGTTCAACACAAAGTTCAACTTGAGAAGGTCGGAGCATTAATCGAACTTTAAGTTGGAAAGGTCAACCCATTCATTGAAGTTCAAGTTGGAATGAAGAAATTCATCGAAGTTCAAGTTGTAATGATGAAGAAATTAATCAAAATTAAAGTTGAAATGCAGAAATTCTTCGAAGTTAAAGTTAGGAATAAGAAAGAAATTAATCGAAGTTCCGAAGTTCAAGTTGGAATGATGAAGAAATTCATCGAAGTTCAAGTTAGGAAGATGATGCAATTCATCGAAGTGAATGGGGGGTGGTGGACGCTACTTGTTAGTGTTTCCGGCGGAGGGCGCGGCCGCCGTGAGGGGACAACCGCTCAGTGTCCCGCCGGACGCCGTGAGGGTAGGTGGTGCTGCGCTCGCTTGTCAATCCGTTCTATTTATTATGCTGAATCGACAGCAACTACTATTTGTAATTCATATATACATAAATATATAAAATTTCTAATGGAATTTTTACAAAAGAAACTGTGTCGTTTCCGTGATTAATTAAATAATCTTGTTAATTATCCCAGAAATTAGAGCTGAATGGCCATTCAGCTGCGTAGTAATACGCTGGCCTTTCAGGGCCCCGCATGGGGCATGCCATTCAGGGCCCCATTGAGCTTATTAATGAAATAATATTAAAAATAATTATAATATTATTAAATAGTTATTATTAAGCCTCAAACAATTATTAAGGATTTCCAATGCCGTGATATTTTTCTGCACACAATTTCAATTAATTTCGAGCATATACGGGGCAAAATTACATTGCATAATCTGGTGACCTTGGAAATAATTTTTAACCTCAATTAGAATGTAAAATTTCTTGAGTGGGCCAGACTTGGGTCTTAGAGTGGGCCAGACTTGGGTCTTAGAGTGGGCCAGACTCGGGTCTTAGAGTGGACCAATCTTGGGTCTCAGAGTGGGTCAGACTTAAGTCTTAGAGTGGGCCAGACTTGGGTCTTAGAGTGGGCCAGACTTGGGTCTTAGAGTGGGCCAGACTTAAGTCTTAGAGTGGGCCAGACTTAAGTCTTAGAGTGTGCCAGACTTAAGTCTTAGAGTGGGCCAGACTTGGGTCTTAGAGTGGGCCAGACTTGGGTCTTAGAGTGGGCCAGACTTGGGTCTTAGAGTGGGCCAGACTTGGGTCTTAGAGTGGGCCAGACTTGGGTCTTAGAGTGGGCCAGACTTGGGTCTTAGAGTGGGCCAGACTTGGGTCTTAGAGTGGGCCAGACTTGGGTCTTAGAGTGGGCCAGACTTGGGTCTTAGAGTGGGCCAGACTTGGGTCTTAGAGTGGGCCAGACTTGGGTCTTAGAGTGGGCCAGACTTGGGTCTTAGAGTGGGCCAGACTTGGGTCTTAGAGTGGGCCAGACTTGGGTCTTAGAGTGGGCCAGACTTGGGTCTTAGAGTGGGCCAGACTTGGGTCTTAGAGTGGGCCAGACTTGGGTCTTAGAGTGGGCCAGACTTGGGTCTTAGAGTGGGCCAGACTTGGGTCTTAGAGTGGGCCAGACTTGGGTCTTAGAGTGGGCCAGACTTGGGTCTTAGAGTGGGCCAGACTTGGGTCTTAGAGTGGGCCAGACTTGGGTCTTAGAGTGGGCCAGACTTGGGTCTTAGAGTGGGCCAGACTTGGGTCTTAGAGTGGGCCAGACTTGGGTCTTAGAGTGGGCCAGACTTGGGTCTTAGAGTGGGCCAGACTTGGGTCTTAGAGTGGGCCAGACTTGGGTCTTAGAGTGGGCCAGACTTGGGTCTTAGAGTGGGCCAGACTTGGGCCTTGGAGTGGGCCAGACTTGGGTCTTAGAGTGGGCCATACTTAAGTCTTAGAGTGGGCCAGACTTGGGTCTTAGAGTGGGCCAGACTTCCGGGTCTCATGGTGGGCCTGACTTGGGTCTTAGAGTGGGCCAGACTTAAGTCTTAGAGTGGGCCAGACTTAAGTCTTCGATAGTGCATTTATTTGCCATATATTAATGTAATAAGATCATTATTTATTAATGCCATTTATAATTATAATTTTATACAAATTTTCATGAATAAAGTATTTATAACAATATTTTGGGTAAAATTTAGAGTAACGGTTTCAATACCCTTACAATTTTTAGGGTAATTCATTAAACTGCTTGAGATATTCAGGGTAATTTCCCTCCATAAATACCCGAGTTAAACTCTGCATATTCTGCGAGCTCTGCAAACTATGGGTTAGTTTCGAGTGAAAGTTTTTAAATAAATTAGTTTTTCGAGCGATTTAATGCACAATTAAAATAATAATAAAAAATTATTAACAAATTAACCCTGTTAATTAATTATTAATTAATTATTAAATAATAAATTTGTTAATTAACCCTAAAATTATTAACAAATTAGTTAATTAACCTTTTGCTTGCTAGAAACACTCAGTTAAATAAGGCAGGTTTTATCCGAATATCGATGCTTGGCATAAAAGCGTAGCAGTGATACGGTGCTGCGGGTGAGAAAGCGTGTCACTATTTTTATCTTTTGTGCCATTGATGTTTTTGAGTGTGTGAAGGTTTTTTTTGTGTTATGGAAATAAAAACAACGTCGCTCATCGGAAATGATGTGAGCGGAACTTGCTTGTTTCAATTATTATTATTTATAATGATAACATTATTATTATCATAATTAATATTATTATTTATATTCACCATTATTATTATTATTATTATTATTATTATTATTTTTATTGTCAATATTTTAATTATAATATTATCATTAATATTATTTTTCTGATAAGCGATATAAGTAATTCACATTGTACGCAATTATGTACAGCATTGTTGGTTCAAATATTGTTTATGCAGCATTGAATTCTCAATACCATGTGTGCAACATTGTGTTCATATCATTGTGTGTTCAACACAGTGTTGGCAACATTGTGTGTTTTAATAAGATTGTCTGTATAACTTTGATGGTACAACATTTTGTGTACAACAGCATGTGTGTTATGTGTGCAGCATTGTGTTAATGGCGGTATGTGTACGATGCAACAAACCAAACACACAGATAAATAAGCATGAAAATTTGTCACTAGTTAACACATGATTATCAATTTAGCAGGTTAATCTATTGTCTGCACTAACCGTGTCTTTCACAAAGGTTAAGTACGGGATCGCGCGTACCCATTGACCCCGAAATAATAAGTTTGGTTTAAGTTTAGCATTAAGTTGAGTTTAACTGTGCACGAAACATTAAGTTTGGTTTAAGTTTAACATTAAATTAAGTTTAACTGATCACGAAATATTAAGTTACGTTTAAGTTTAACATTAAGTTAAGCTTAACTGACCACGAAATATTAAGTTTAGTTTAAGTTTAACATTAACTTAAGTTTAACTGTATCGGAAATATTAAGTTTACGTAAAGACTTGATTATGTCACTCCTACAATCAGAGAAATGAGTGAGGCTTTGTCCAAATATCGATTCATTTTATGCCCTCGTGCTTGTCATCCTGACCCAGTTTAGCATGGCAATAAGAGCGTATCAGTGCTACGTCCGCTCTCTGCTTGTGGTGTGGATGAGAAAGTGTGTCATTAATTGTACAATATGACTCATTCATTTTTTCTCGATAATTTTCTCATTCACAATATAACACATTCATTTGTCTCATTCAAAATATGACTCATTCAATTTTCTCATTCATTTTCTCGTTTACAATGTGTCACATTCATTTTTCTCATTCATTTTCTTATTTACAATGTGACACATTCATTTTTCTTATTCATTTTCTCATTTACAATGTGACACATTCATTTTTCTTATTCATTTTCTCATTTACAATGTGTCTCGTTAATTTTTATCACTCATTTTGCTCATTCACAATGTGACTCGATCATTCAGTTATCTCATTCATTTTTCTCATTCAAAATATAACTCACTCACTTTTCATTCCCGAACGCATCCCTCTTTTCCCCAGGGAACCGGATGATGTCCCCACCAGAAGATTCCTCCTGTCCAGCGTCCCCGAGCAGTGAATGGGAAGAGGAGGAAGGTGAAGGGGAGGTGGGTGAAGGGTTGTACTACAGAGACTTCATTGACGAGCCTCTGTCTGATGAAGGTGGCAATTTGAACGAGTCTGCTCCTGCACCCCCTTCAACACTTGCCACCATTCACGAAGGGGAAGAGAGTGAAGAGTATGGATATGAATACGAAGAATTAGAAGATAATAATAAAGTTCTTAGAAAAAGATCAGTAAATACCGTTTTTAAAGAAGATATAACAAACGACCGGGAGAATAATTTGAACTTAAATAGGAAAGAAGAGCTACTCGAAGAAGAGGTAGATGGTTTCAACCTCCACGGGTTAAGAGACTCCGATGAACTTCTTCCTAGCAGGACCACGATGTCTGATTTACTCCCCATGGATTGGTTCTTTTCCCCACGCGACACGTCCTCACAAGGGCCTCTTCCTCCTGCCGAAGGACTGACCAATGGACATGAGGAACTGTCTGACGAGGAACAGGTATTCCTCCGCGATGAAAGCTTGATTTTGGCGGAGGAAATTTCGTTGGCCCAGGGACTACCGGCCACTGCCGACATCGGGATGTCCGATGACACGTCGGGATGCAAGTCCGGATTGGAACAAAGCGTTCCCGGTGGGACTTCGAAAGGGGATTTGGTCCCAACAGACCCTGTAATGCCTTTTGGCCCGTCAGGATGCAATTCAAGATTGGCCCCGAGTTTTCAGGACGGGACTTCATTAGGGACTTCGGTCCCAACAGACCCAGGGACTCCTTTTGTAACGTCGGGATGCAAGTCCACATTAGGCTCAGATTTGTCAAGTGGGACTTCAGACGGTATTACGGCCCCAACAGACGCCGAAAAAGCCTTTGGGACTTCAGCATTCAATAAGTCCACTTGCGTGCAAGAGCTGCCAAACTCTCAGTCCACGGTGCGGATAGATTTCAAGACTGACCAGATTTCCAGTTCACAATCCCCGTTCAGTGGAGACTTTAGTGGACCTGAAAGTGGACACCAAGATTCAAGTGGACTGAAGACTGGGCACAAAGAGAGACGAAAGCCTCTGCCACCTGTGCGCAAGTCCTCGCTGCTGTCCACTCCTCGGGACGGGAAGGAAGGTAAGTCTACGTCTGCAATTTTTCTATTTCTCCTGCAGAAATTTATGCGGCCAATGCGTTGCACTTTGCCAATCAAAAGCCGGGCTATCGAAACTTGCCACGTTTCGATACTATCGGCCTGAGTACACGTAGCGGCCTAAGTACACATAGCGGCCTAAGTACACATAGCGTCCTAAGTTCACGTAGCGGCCAATTTCTCGTTTGTTATTGATGGGTTTAGCTTGAAAAGTCGTCAGTGATTGACTGATGAAGTTAGACGTTAAATATTTTTGATCGTACGGCCCCAGTTTAAGGAGCCTTATGACTTTATGATGAGTTCTGGACTTCCTAGTCTCTGGTCACGCTGATGCGCCGCCTTCGTCGTCCTCCGTCTCCGAGTCGTCGCTAGGCAGGTCACCCCGCCCTCGGGTCCCGGATGTAACGTTGGACGTGTTCCGTATATTTGCCCTCCTTTGGGTCAGCTGATGATAAAATACCGCTTGGACGGGGAATATCCAACTTTAGCATTGGTCTAAAATGAGAGATTTTCAATTCTGGTAGGAATAATTGGCAGAAAATACTTCAATGGTCGCCTTGTTCTGCCTTAAAAGTTAGATTTGGGATTCAGGCACGAATAACATTACCGCGAACATTAAAATTTTCCCCTTTGCTACTGAATAGGTAACTCGTAATTTATACTGGAATAATGTTGCATAGAAAAATAGGATTTTTGTGTCGTAATTTAAAATACTGATAGGAAAACTTTGTTATATTATGAAATTTATAACTATTAAATTTCAATTATCCCACGGATTATTAATTATATCTATTATATCCCTTAATTATCTGTTCGTGGAGTGGTTAGCCCTATATTCTGTTGGGATAAAAATAGCGTGAGGATGAAATCCTTTCATTTGATTCTAGCAAAACCACTTGCAATCAATTAAACCAGGAATTTCCTGAATTATCATTTGGTTATTAATCGTTCATTTATGCATTAATTAAATATGATAACAAATTTATTGATGCTGCATAAGCTAATCGAAAACTCGTGCAATTAATTCTTTAATCCCCCGTAATATTTTTGCTTAGTTTTCTATGGCGGTCATAGTTTTCTATGTCGCTGTAGGCTTAGTCGTAGAAAATTATCCCACCGCTCGATTTTCAGGCATGACTGCTTTAAACGCTAAGTACAAATTGCCAATTCGTTCATTTAAGTTTAAATATGTAATGTATAACATTTTTTCATAGGGTGGGAAATATCGTATTATCTTACAATATCAAGTTAACAAATATTATATATTCTAATCGTATATTGCAATATTAAGTTAACAAATTGTTCTGGAAAACATAACAGTATAATATGAAGGTCATTCTTCCTCACTCTATTCGAAGTGAAGGATGAAAATTTAAAACAGTATTTCTCCCTGCGTCGCTTGGCAGGAAGTGAAACTCCTGCACAGCTGTCCCAGCCTCCTGCACAGCTGTCCCAGCCTCCTGCCCAGCTGTCCCAGCCTCCTGCTCCCCCTCCCCTCTTGAACGACAGACGAACTTGTCAGGAAGTCCGTATCCAGCAGCTGAAGGCGGAGCTCAGTTCAAGAAAACAGACAATTCCTGCCAGCAGTGATCAGCTCCCTGCCAGCAGCAGAGTGTCAGCACACGCAGGAAAAATGCCACAGGAGACTGTTGTCGCTGCCAGCAGAGTGCCAGCGCTGGCACGTGACGAGTTCATTGCTGGCACTGCTGACGTCACCGTGAGCTGGACGGCCGGTGATTGGCCAGCCACAGACGGGGCCCCACGCCAGTGTGGCTCCGGCCGTGGTGAAGGGAGGAGTGTGTGTGCTGGTCCTCCGTCGCTCGTGACTCACGACAGTCGCGCCTCTGACATTCCGATGATGCGCGACGAAAACCTCATGAACGAAGCTCGTGTCAGCCATGCTGATAGCGTCGGCAAGTCCATGAGTCTGGACAGAGGCCTGATGGCTGACGATGGTCCTCGTGCTGACGAAGATGTGGGGCTGCTGCAGGGGCTGTGGCGACGAAGCGGACGACGTGTGAACAAACCGAAAATTCCGCCCAAACCCGCGACGTTGACTGCAGCGTCAGCTGTGACGTCATCAACATCAGCAAGTAGCGCAGCTGACAGGGCCTCGCTGTGGCGCAAGTGGCGTCAGGAGGCCAGTGCCCTACTGGGCCGCGGGGGACGAAAAGGGGCCCGAGAACCCTCGCCCCTCAGGCCAAGTGAGCGCCCCACACAGGCAGTGGAGGCCAAAGATTCAGGCCACGCGGTTTCATGGCCGGGTCAAAAAAGCCCCAAAAAGGGTTTTGAGGCCAACAAAATCAATTTTAAGGCCAATGAAATAAATTTTGAGGACTGCGAATCCAATTTCGAGGCCCGAGGAGTCAGTTTTGAGGCCGTAGAGGACAAATATGAGGCCAATTGGGCCCATGAAAAAGGCCCTTCGGGCCCCCTGAGCGAGCGCTACGCACCGTACTGCGTCGGACGCGACAAGCGCGAGGACGCGAGCCCAAAAATCGTCACTCGTCCGCCGCTCCCGACGCTTCACCGCCGCCCGCGGCCGCTGCCCGCCACCGTGGGCGGCGGCGGCCAAATTTGTGACGGCGGCGGCCAAGATGGCGGCGGTGGTGGCTGGAAAAATGGCGTTGGCGGGCTCCAAAACGGCGGGAATTGCGATAAAAATTTCGTATTTGGCGGAAAAAATGGCGTCGGTGGCAATAAAAACGGCGGAAGTGTCTGCATAAACGGCGGAGATGGCGGCCAAAGAAGCGAAAGCGGCGGCCAGAGCGGCGGTGTTCTACAGCCCCGCGGTATCGATTACCACGTCGCTAACCATCACCGTAGTGAAGACTTCATCACCACCACCGCCGCTACACTACACAGCTGCACCACCACCACCACCACCACCACCACCACCACCACCACCACAGTCTGCACCAGCCACCAGTGTGGTGTTGGCAAGTGTAGCTCCAGGGTGCAGTGTACAGCCTTCAGTGTAGAGTGTGATGATGGTGACAGTGTAGTGATAAATGGTGGTGATATTGAAGTATTTAATGGTGGTGATATTGAGGTATATAATGGTGATGATAAAGTGAAGTATAATGGTGATGTCAGTGCAGTGCCACCACAGCACAGCGGCTGTGCCAGTGCAGTGCCTCTCATAGAGACGGATCTGGACACTGGTGCCTCACGACGCCTCACAGGGCCTCACACAGCTCATGTTTTGAGGCCATTACTTAATAATAAATATTTCAGCACATACGACCCTTCTAACCCCCACGACCCCCAAAATTACCGTGACCCCCACGATCTTCATGCGTCCCGTGACCCGACGTCCCCGCGGCCCGCGGGTCTAACGAGCCGTCGTGGGCCCAAATATTCCGTGCGGGAGGTGAAGAGAAGGCGGGAGGGGGTGAGGGGGGACGAAGGGGTGAAAGGGGACGACGAAGGGGGGACGAAGCAGGACGTGACTAACCTGGACGACCTGCACCGCGACCTGCAGAGCCTCGTGTCCGACCTGCGCAGGCCGCCTGACCTGCAACAACAACAACAACAGCAACGACAGCAGCAAACGGACTCGTTGTCCCGGGCCAAGTCCCTGTTGTCCGTGTTAGACCCTGGATCTATCTTAAATGCAACAAGGGTTAGACCCTGGATCTATCTTAAATGCAACAAGGGTTAGACCCTGAAACATGAGCTAGACCCTAACGTAGTGTATGCGTCATGACATGTGTCGCCGTTATCTCAGCGTTATCTTATCAGGACATCTCGTGTGATGTGCTGTGTTGTGTGCTGTGTGTTCAGTGTTGTACTGTGTGCAGTGTGTAGAGTGTTAGGTGTGCTGTGTGACGACCATAAACACAAACTCACTAAACACAAGCTGTGTTTTTCGAAAGGCTACAACACACTATACCCTCTCTCAACCTCTGTATTGTGTACAGTATACAATCCAATACCACGTCCCTTGGTCCCCTCTTTCTAACCTTTTTTAATCCCTCTCTTAACTCCTTTTTCAACCCTACTTTAAACCCCCACTTTCTAACTCATTTTAAGCTCATTCCAACCGATCTTTCTAACCCTCTTACAACACAACTTTCCTTTCCGCTTTGTAACCCTCTTCCAACCTCCCTTCTCTCTAACCCTCTTCCAGCTTCCCATATTTTCTCCCCTTTCCAACCCATTTTTCAGACCAAAAGTCCAAATATCTCATGAGTTGAAAACTGATAAAATAAAAAAAAAAATTCGTTTCTCCCTCCTGCTGAAACTGATAGCTGAAGACTTCTGTTTTCTCTCTGTTGTGTGCTCTGTACCCAAGAAGCAACAGGAATACACCTTTTCATCCCTCTTCCGTTTCCCCTCTTGTCCCCAAGAGTTGAGGGTTGACAGAAATAGACACCCGCGTGCCCGGCTTCTTTTTGTGCCCTTTGCTTGTACCCTCAGCAGCCAGGCTACCCTCGTACGGAAATAGACTTCCCCTCACCCTAGCTTCCCTCACCCTAACTTCCCTCACCCTAGCTTCCCTCACCCTAGCGTCCCTCACCCTAGCTTCCCTCACCCTAGCTTCCCTCACCCTAGCTTCCCTCACCCTAGCTTCCATCACCCTAGTTTCCTCCACCCTAGCTTCCCTCACCCTAGCTTCCCTCACCCTAGTCTAACCGTATTCTCTTCACCCTAGGTAAGTTACCATCACCCTAGCAAAACTCCCCTTACCCTAGGCTAACTTCCCTCGCCCTAGCCAGAGTCATCTCACCCTAGCCTAACTCACCCTAACCTGACTCCCCTCAACCTAGCCCAACTCCCCCTAGCCTCCCTCACCCTAGCCTCCCTCACCCTAGCCTATCACCCTAGCATAACTCCCCCTAGCCTAGCACCCTACCAGCCACAATGCAACACGTGCCTCTCAGGAGATGCAATTCGTCAGTTGTCTACCTGACCTGCTACCAGGATGACATGGTACACAACCAGGTACATGGTACTACCATAGCCACCAGCTGACATAACCACCATCCAGTCTCGGTCATTTTGACCAATATTACAACACTTCTTTCAACTTCACTTCTTCTATGTTTGTTTGTTTGTTTGTTTGTTTGTTTGTCTGCTACAAATTTTATAATCGATATTGAACACACTTCTACCTGTCCAATCTATCTGAAATTTTGCACACTTGCGTAAAGTTGGAGACAATGCATGCATCAATTGACAGAATGAATAATTTCTAAATTTTAATTTTTATATATATACAAAAATTTAAAATCCATTTTTTCAACATTTGAGAATAAAATAAAAAATTCATTGTACATGTGTAACATCGGAGACACTGGATACTTTAGAAGTGTATTTAAAAAGTAATTTCAACGCATATTAGTTTTATGTTAACTTTTCACTGAATCACTAAAAGGTTTGAGAGATTTATATTGAGAGGTATATAGGGTTGAGAGGTATAGAGAGGGTAGAGACGTGTAGTGTTGTGTAAGGTTGAGAGGTATAGAGAGGTGAAGTGGTGTATAAGGTTGAGAGGTATAGAGAGGTGTAGTGGTGTATAATAAGGTTGAGAGGTATAGAGAGGTGTAGTGGTGTACAAGGTTGAGAGGTATAGAGAGGTGTAGTGGTGTATAATAAGGTTGAGAGGTATAGAGAGGAGTAGTGGTGTATAATGAGGTTGAGAGGTATAGAGAGGTGTAGTGGTGTATAAGGTTGAGAGGTATAGAGAGGTGTAGTGGTGTATAAGGTTGAGAGGTATAGAGAGGTATAGTGGTGTATAATAAGGTTGAGGGGTATAGAGAGGTGTAGTGTAGTGGTGTATAATAAGGTTGAGGGGTATAGAGAGGTGTAGTGGTGTATAAGGTTGAGAGGTATAGAGAGGTGTAGTGGTGTATAATAAGGTTGAGAGGTATAGAGAGGTGTAGTGGTGTA